TATGGGGCAGCAACGCTATGGAGTGGCACTATGGGACAGTGACACTGTGGAGTAGTAGGGTTATGGGGCAGCAACGCTATGGAGTGGCACTATGGGACAGTGACACTGTGGAGTAGTAGGGTTATGGGGCAATGATGCTATGGGGTGGACCCACTATGGGCAAGTTATGCTGTGGGGCAGCACTAATGGGCAGCAGCACTTTGAGGTGGCACTGAAATTATGGGGTAGTGGTGCTATGGGGCAATGATGCTGTGCGGTGGCACTGTGGGGCAGCGCTACATAGCAGTGACGCTGTGGGGAAGCAACACAATGGGGCAGTGATGCTATGGGGCATAGACTTTATGGGGTAGTGGTGCTATGGGGCAGTGTTATGGCATACAACTCTATGGGGCAGTGACTCTATGGGGCAGCAACACTATGGGCAGGAGCACAATGTGGTAGTGACACTGTGGGGCAGCTCTATGGAGCCAAGAAGCTATGGGGCTGTGACTCTGTGACAGCACTATAGGGCAGTGACGCTTCAGTGTGGCGATGCATTGGGGCGGTGCTGGCGGGGGGGCAGTGACGCTATGGGGAGATTCTATGGGGCAACTCTATGGGGCAGTGGCATTTTGGCTCCGTGCTGTGGGAAAGTGATGCTATGTGACAGCACAACGGGGAAGTGATGGTGTGGGAGACTGCTGTGGGGCAGTGACACTGTAGGGCAGCGATACATTGGGCTGGTGCTATGGGGCAGTGACCCTTTGTGGTAGTGACGTTTTGGGGCAATGCACTATGGGGCAGTGACACCATGGGGCAGCAATGTGATGGGGACAAGGACACTGGGGAATCGCTCTGAGACAGTGATGCTACATGGGAGCACGATGGGGCAGTGACACTATGGAGCAAAGCTATGGGGCAGGGACACTAATGGGCTGTGACGCTATGGGGCAGCAGTATGGGGAAGGAATGCTGCACGGCAGGGTCGCTACAGGGAACCTCTATTGAGCAGTGATGCTATAGGGCAGCACAATAGGGCAGCGATGCTGTGGGGTGGCGCTATGGGGCAACGAATCTACGGTGCAGGGCTGCAGTGGGGTGGTGAACTATGAGGGAGCACTGTGGGGCAGCGATGCTATGGCTCAATGCTATGGGGCAGCACTGTGGGGCAGTGACACTGAGAAGCAGGTCTATGGGGCAGTGATGCTATGGGGCAGAAGCAGTATGGGGTAGCACGATGGGGCACTGACACTGAGAAGCAGGTCTATGGGGCAGTGATGCTGTGGGGCGGAGGCGGTATGGGATAGCACGATGGGGCAGTGATGATACAGGGTGCTGCTATGGGGAATCTCTGTGTAGGGCAGGGGTGCTGTGGAGCGGTGAATCCATGGTGCAAAGTAGCTATGGGGCAGCGATGCTATAAGGCAGCAGCAGCGCGGGGTGGTGACGCCAGGGGGCAGCGACGCTGCAGGGACGAGGACACTTCGGGGAACCTTTATGAGGCAGCGGCGGAATTTGGCAGCTCTATGGGACGTGATGCTGTGGGGCAGCGGTGTGGAGTGGTGACTGCATAGGCAGGGTTGGCCCTTGTGCCGCACACGTCCAAAAGAAGAAATGCTCTGTTTATTGGCCACGGCCAAAGCAGCAGCCTCCGCTTTTCAGCATCCAAAAAAAACCCCAAAAGGCAGCCTCTGTTTTGCTGTGCAAAGAACAAATAGTGGAAATAGAAGAAAGGAACACGGCCACCTCCACAAAGCTCCTGCAAGCAAAGAGGCTCCTTGCTGGAGCAGCCAAGGGCCAGGGAAGCAGCTCACAAAGAGAGAAACTCCAGCCCCAGCCGCTTCTCCGTCCCCAGCACACAAACGCTGTCTGCAGGCATTTCATGTCTCTGCCTTCACATCCTTTGCCTCTTCACATCCTGCCTGCTTCCCCCAGCCCCTGCCTGAGATGAACACGCTGCTGCTCTCCTGCAGGCTGCGATGACCACAAGCGAAAGGCAGAAGTTGAACCGTAGCCCGATGGAACAAGAGCAACGGCAATGGGGGATTTGCAGCTTTTCCTCAGCCGGGGGGTAACAGCCGGCTGCAGCTGAGAGCAGGAAGCAAACCGCTGTGTCAGTTGCTCCCTCCTCCGTCCTGCTTTCTTTCCTTCTCCTGTCACCTGAAACGCAGAAAGAAAACTCTCTCTCCACTCCCCCTCCCAGTGCGGCGCTAGAAAGCGGCGTTCCTTTATATTGGCTTTTCCATTTCTGCTCTTAAGACTTCTTGCAGGGGTTCAGCAAACTCACATTCTCCATCAAAGGCCGCGGCCTCCATTGCTCCAAAGAACATCCTGCCCTGCCGGTGCTGCTCCCACCTTCAGCTGGACGGTCAGCATTGCTGCTCAGCTTGTCTCCCACCCAGACGTCCCAGTGCTTCCACCCAGTACAACGGCATCTTCCAAGCCCTCTGCTCTTGTCTGAACAGGACGGAATGTCTCTGCAACAGAAGAACGTGAGCCTCCACCAGCTGTGTTTTCTGGAACGTACCTTGGACGCGTCCTTTTCCAAAGGCGATTTGGCCTGCGGTCTGTTTAAGATCTCTCTCCCCATTAATTGGCCCCGGCCAGTCAGGCATCTATAGAAATTTTCCTCCTGTAATGGTTGGAAGAACGGATGCAGCTCAGCTTTCCCCATGGCTCCAATTAGTGATTTTACACCTTAATTGCCCAGCCTTCCCGTGACCAGGGCCTCGGCTGGGGTCTCACCTTCATCCTGCACTTACTGCCCTTGTATCCGTGGCTTTTGAGTGACCTGCCTCTGATGAGAGGCATGAAGAGGATGGCCTGCAGGTGTGATTATTGTAGAGGAAGAAAACTGGCTATAAAAGGAAAATGTGACCAGAAGTCAAGCAGAAGAAGCACGTGGTTGGTTGGTTTTTTTTTCCATAGAATGCAGACAAAATCCTATAAATTGCACCAGGGTTAAGTTTAGGTTGGATATCAGGAAAAACTTCTTTACAGGAAGGGTTGTGAAACACTGGAATGGGCTCCCCAGGGAGCCTATATGCATATAATGCCTGTATGCCTGTATGCATTTAAAAACCATTTGGATGACGTGATTTAGCAGGGGGGTGTTAGAGTGAGGATAGGATGGTTAAGTTGTGGTTGGACTCAATGATCTTCAAGGTCTTTTCCAACCTGAGCAATTCTATGAGTCTATGATTCTATGAGTCTATGGTTCTATGATTCTATGATTTTCTGGATCTTTGCTGCTGTTTTTTTTTTCCTGGGCAACGCCATCGCCAACAGCCGAGCTGCTGATGCTGTCTGCGCCCATCAGCTTTCAGCGCTGTTGTAAACACCCAAATAATTTCGTCTGGATATCTCTGATGAAAGCAGACTTCATTTGCGATTGCAGCGGCGGGCGTCCCGCGAGCTGGAGCGCCCCTAAGGGCACAAGGGCAGCTTTTGGGCCTTGTTTCCCTCTCTGCCTGCCCCCCTCCCCTGTTCCCCATTGCCTGGATACTCCAGGCTCACAATCTTACCCACAGTTTACATTCACTAATCCGCCTGTTATCTGCTCTCAGTCGGTTGCCACCCCGCTGCTTCCAGGATGTCTCAGTGGTTCTGATACCTGATTTCCTTCCAGGTCTTTGTTAAAGACAGAGCGCTGGGCAGGGGGAGGGGAGATGGTCAACCTTCTGCAGGACATTCCTGCTGTGGGTCTGGCCAAGTGCAAGCAGACCCACAGTTGTAAGGCCAAGTGCATGCAGACCCACAGTTGTAAGGCCAAGTGCATGCAGACCCACAGT